ATGATTTTGGTAACCTTGGTATTATTCCCATAAATGGTAACTGGACACTAGATAGTAGAATAGTTATGCAATCTGGTATAGATGAATGCTCCTTTGTAACTAATTTTTATTTCAATATTCTCATGAGGGGACACCTGGAATTGCTGTCCTATTGGCTGGAGAGCCTTCCAGTCCAGCTGCTATTTTCCTTTTCATGACAACAAGACATGGGTGGAGAGTGGAAGGAACTGTTCAGGGCTAGGGGCCCACCTGGTCACCATCAGCACAGAAGCTGAGCAGGTATGTTGGGAGGCTCCCGTCAGTTTCTCTGCTGCTTTGAATCTCTTAGCAGAGAGAGAGGACTTTGTCTGCTCTACCATGCTTCTGTGCCTTTGCTGCATCTGTTCCATGTGCCTGGAAAACCTTTTCTTCCTCCCTTACTGTGTGTGTGTGTGTGTGTGTGTGTGTGTGTGTGTACTACTGTCATGTCTCTTTAAATCCAAGTGTTATTGGTAAGGAGCACTCCCTGTCCCCGCCTGTTGCCTGGGGAAGTGGGCTTCTTGCCATGTCCTGAGAAAGAGAGAGAGACAGAGAGAGAGAGAGAGAGAAGATTGATCTACTGCCTCCTGCACAGCTCCCACCAGGCATGGAGCCTTCCTGCAACCTGGGCATGTGCCCTGACTGAGAATTGAACCAGTGACTTCTTGGTGCATGCGTTGATGCTCAACCACTGAACCACACTGACTGGGTCCTCTATTATTTTCTTAATATGACCAACTTCTTTGGATCTTTCCAGATGTCATTCATGTAGTATTTCCTAGAGAAAACTATCCTGACCATCTTCCCTACTCCACCCTCCCTATTCTAAGTTGAAGGTGTTTTATAGTACTTTGTGCATTGTGTGATCATGGCACTTACTTTAGTGTCCTGCAATTGTCTGTTTAATACTCCATCTCTTCCAATGATTTCTACTTTGTAGAAGGCTGAGGCCATGCCTTACTCATCTTTGTATCACTAATGTCCTGCACAGTGCTAGGCACTCTGGCTATGTCTTAATAACTGTCTTAATAAGTAAATAAGTGAATGGTTAATTGATACTAAAAGAGCTACAGGATAAAGCATAGAAAAAATAATTCAGATGTATGGTTGTAATCCTATATAATAAAGAAGTAATATGCAAATTGACCATCACACCCTTGCACAAGATGGCCGCTCCCATGTGGTCAAAGATGGCAGGCCTCATGTGGCCATCAGGGGAGGGCAGTTGTGGCCAATCAGGTCAGCAGGAGAGGGCAGTTGGGGGTGACCAGGCCTGCAGGGGAGGGCAGTTAGGAGTGACCAGGCCAGCAGAGGAGGGCAGTTGTGGGGGACCAGGCCTGCAGGGGAGGGCAGTTGGGGGCAACCAGGCCGGCAGAGGAGGGCAGTTGGCGGTGACGAGGCCAGCAGGAAAGGGCAGGTAGGGGCATTGGGCCAGCAGGGGAGCAGTTAGGCGTTGATCAGGCTGGCAGGCAGAAGTGGTTAGAGGCAGGCAGGCAGGCAAGCGGTTGGGAGCCAGCAGTCCCAGATTGTGAGAGGGACGTCCGACTGCTGGTTTAGGCCTGGTCCCTGTCTAGGCCACAGGAACCCGGCCTATACTGGCAGTTGGACATCCCTCAAGGGGTTCCAGATTGGAGAGGGTGCCGGCTGGATTGAGGGATACCTACCACTCCCATGCACAAATTTTGTGCACCAGGCCTCTAGTTTAAAAAAAAAAAAATCTTAATGTAAAAATTGAAATGTATTTTCTTATGTAATATATTTCCATATATGTACCATAACTCACATTCTACCCTTTTGCTGATCAGAAGGATTTCCTGGAGAATTCTGTTTTCATGTCTTTGCAATCTATAGGCAGACTCTTTGAATAAAATGAGATCTAATAAAATATACGAACAATTAAAGAGGGAAAATTTAAAAACAAAAGTTCCTGATAATCTGATCCTATTAAACATTTGCTAAGTAGTTGTCAAGTAGATCTCAGTTAATCTTCAAAATAACTCAGTGAAGTAGTGGAGTTGTCTCTTTTGAAGATAAGAAAACTAGGGTTTGGTGAGAATAAAGCACTTACTAACAGTACATAGTAAACAGCAGAGGCAAGATATGAAAACAGACCCATCTGGTGCCAACCCTTTTTGCTTAACTAGTAATCTATTCAACCTCTTTCCTCTTTTCCTATCATCTATCACATGATAACTGCAAATAAATTTATAAGAATTTACAATTTTTTTATACAGAACTTTATTACTCAATTTTTGGATAAAAGATTTTCATATTTCCTGGGACTTTCATATGAGAATCCTGAAGGCCTTTGGCAATGGGTGAACAGGACACCATTTAACCCACATATGGAGTGAGTATATTGACTGGGATGAAAGAGTTTTATAGGCAAAGATGGGAAGAAGGTAGCAAGCAGAATTCATTTTGGGGTGGAGCATACCAGTGTAAAAGTGCTTACTCAGCACCATGTGTTGTGTAACCTTTATACTAGTAAACTACTACTACACTTGTATTGGGCAGGGCAGTGCAGCTCTAAATTTCTCACTTAAGGGCATTTAGGGTCATTTTCTCTGCATAGTCCCCTGACACACACCGTGTGTGTGTGTGTGTGTGTGTGTTGGTGTGTGTGTGTGTGAGTGTGTGTGTGTGTGTGTGTGTGTGTGAGTGTATTACATATACTTTTTTTCATTTCAGATTCTGGCATAAGGGTGAACCCAATAATCATCAGAAGGAAAATTGTGTTGTCCTTGTTAATGACCAAAACAAATGGGCCTGGAATAATCTTTCTTGTAACTTTGAGGCAAGTAGGATTTGTAAGAAACCTGGAAGAATACTCACCTGAAAGTTATGAAGAGGTTCTTGTGATGAGGACAGAAAAGAAGAACCCATTAGCCTAGGGAAGAATGTACATGCACTACTGGAATAGAGAAAACATACTAGATGAGGGGCTGATGGTAGAACATTTTCATAGAACATTTTCAGTCACGATGGGACTTATTTTTTCAATTCATTCAAGATAATGTGTTTTTGTGTAGTGCTTTAGTGGAAGGAATAATCTCTTCTATGAAAATCAGTTTTCATTAATTTTGCTTTCCTGATAGTATTTCAAAGAATTTATTCTTGCCAAAACCTGTTTGGCTCAGTGGATAGAGCATCAGCCTGCGGACTGAAGGGTCCCAGGTTTGATTCCTGTCAAGGGCATGTACCTGGGTTGCAGGCACATCCCCACTGGGGGATGTGCAGGAGGCAGCTAATCGATGTTTCTCTCTCATCGATGTTTCTAACTCTCTATCTCTCTCCCTTCCTCTCTGTAAAAAATCAATAAAATATATTTTTTTTAAAAAAGAATTTATTCTTTGAAATGCAATTGGTGTGCATTTATTACACATTTAGCAGAATGGCTTAAATGATGCAATGTTTTGGTTATTTTTTCCTCTACCCCAAATATTAACTCTTAAAATTCAGTGAAATATTCACATTGTAAGATATAAAAATGTCAAATCACTATATTGTACACCTGAAATGAATATCCTATATAATAAAAAGCATAATATGCAAATCAACCAAAGAGTGGAATGACCAGTCAATGGGGGACAGGGCTGGCGAGCAGGCGGCGCCAGGCCAGCCAAGGCTCATGCCAGTGGGCAGAGGGAGGGAACGGCGATGGGGGGGGGCGTGGCGACCAGTGGCTGCAGAGGGGCAATGGAAAGGGCTGGCACCATCCCCTGATCCGCCCATCCGGTTGCCTTCCACAGAGGGAGGCCCAGGTGGCAATGGCAGGGTGATGGGGGCGATGCCATCCCCTGATCAGCTGGTCCAATCACTGCCCGCAGAGGGAGGCCAGACTGTGGCTTAGGCCCGCTCCTCCCAGGAGCCATCAGTAGGACATCCCCTGAGGACTCCTGGCCTGTGAGAGGGTGCACAAATTTTCATGCACCGGGCCTCTAGTCCTATCTAATAATAGAGAAACATGGTAATTAACCATACCTCCGCTACCTTTCCCATTGGCTAATCAGGGCAATATGCAAATTAACTGCCAACCAAGATGGCGGCCGGCAGCCAAGCAGCTGAAGTGAACAGGAGGCTTGGGTGCCTCGGCAATGGAGGAAGCCAAGGTTCCCCACCTACCACCGCCTGGCTCTGAGCTCCTGAAG